TGGAGGGTTTGAAGAGGCTTCAAGGGAGCATTACTAGGGCAGACAACCCTAAATTGCAGGGGTGGGGATATTTGACCTATCTTTTCCCTGCCAATCCCACTAGCTTTCTCCTGGGGGAGCTACAGCGGTGTTTGAAGGATCCTGATTGGCTGGCTCAGCTATTCATCAAACACGTGAGGCTCGAGAGGGTGGGGCTGGGGAGGGGCTTGCGAGTGGATTGGGCAGTGGAAGTGCTCTTCCTTCTCACTCATCCTGCTCTTTCTTAAACTTTACACCTCCTAGGAGCGCCGGCTGCAAATGTACGTGGTATACTGTCAGAATAAACCCAAGTCAGAGCATGTGGTGTCAGAATTTGGGGACAGCTACTTTGAGGTCAGTGGCTGAGGCACCTGGGGAAAAGAGGGACAGAATCCCCCTGAGCAGGCTTTCCAGGCTGCATAACCACTGTGTATCCCTGTCTCCAGGAGCTCCGGCAGCAGCTGGGGCACCGATTGCAGCTCAATGATCTTCTCATCAAGCCGGTGCAGAGGATCATGAAATACCAGCTGCTGCTCAAGGTCAGGCCCACCTGCCAGCTGGCGGGGACCGCTTTCTTCATTCATCTCCTCAGGGTTCCTAAGGCTTCCCCCAGACTTCCTGGAGGCCTCCGCCTGTGTCCTGGGGGAGGTTGTGAGAACTTCTGAGAATGTCCTCCTGACTTACCTGAACATTCTTTTCCATGTCTTAGGATTTTCTCAAGTATTACAGCAGAGCTGGGATGGATACTGAAGAGCTGGAGGTGAGGGCACATCACACACACCTTTACCTTCTAAGCCCCCTGGATTCCCCCAGCTCCTTGGGTGGTATAGAGCTGGCTGGTGCAAGGGGAGGCTGTAGGGGGTCAAAACATGGCTTTTTCCTGATGACTCTGCTTCTCTCTTCACTTGCATCCCAGCGAGCTGTGGAAGTCATGTGCTTTGTACCCAAGCGCTGTAATGACATGATGACCCTGGGGAGACTGCGGGGATTTGAGGTATGGGGATGGAGCAGGAAACCTGAGGACCCGTGCTCTTCTGTCTCAGTTTGAGATTCAGGAAGTCCGTATGGGGAATTGTCCTCTCTGGGTGCTACCCTGTGGTTGGTTGGGAGTGTCAGGGGAAGGAGGGAGGAGCAGAGAGTTGCCTCTTTTTTCTTGTGTTTTTTTCCCCCTGGAAGACCACTGTCCTTTGGTTCTAGGGCAAACTGACTGCTCAGGGGAAGCTCTTGGGCCAGGACACATTCTGGGTCACAGAGCCTGAGGCTGGGGGGCTTCTTTCCTCCCGGGGTCGAGAGCGGCGCGTCTTCCTCTTTGAGCAAATCGTCATCTTCAGTGAGGCCTTGGGAGGAGGAGTGCGAGGTGGAACCCCGCCTGGATATGTGTACAAGAGCAGCATCAAGGTGGGGAGGGGCTACGAGGGAGGGGTTTGACTGGGATGGGGGAGGCCTCTGAGAGGATGCCTGGCTCTTGGAGTTGTTGGAGGGGCAGGAGCTAGAGAGGGCCTGAAGAATTTGGGGGCACTATCTCCTATTTGCCAATCCAGGTGAGCTGCCTTGGACTAGAAAGGAACCTCCAAGGTGACCCTTGCCGCTTTGCTCTGACCTCCAGAGGGCCAGAGGGTGGGATCCAGCGCTATGTCCTGCAGACTGCAGACGCTGCAGTCAGTCAGGCCTGGATCAAGCAAGTGGCTCAGATCCTAGAAAGCCAGCGGGACTTTCTCAATGGTGAGTTCTCACCCTCTCTCCTCCACATGCTCCCTTCTGAATCCTTTACTGCCCAGTCTCCCATCCCTGCCCTCTGACCCTGGCTTCACTTTGTCCCCTATTCCCACAAATAGCTCAAGAATTGGTAGCTCAGCCCTAGCTGGTTTGGCTCAGTGAATAGAGTGTCAGCCTGCGGACTGAAGGGTCCATGCCAGGGTTGTGGGCTCAATTCCCAGGAGAGGGTGTGCAGGAGGCAGCTGATCAGTAATTCTCTCTCATCATTGATGTTCCTATCTCCCTCCCTCTCCCTTCCTATCTGAAATCAATATATATATATATATATATATATATATATATATATATATATATATATATATAAAAGAATTGATAACTCAGAATCCTCTAAAGGTTAATTTACATGGATGACACCTTTGGAGGGAGAGCAAAATGGGAAGATGGCTTGAGCAGAGCCCTGAGGGAAAGAAAGGACCTGTCTCTGCTGTAACCCTCCTTCTGTTCTTCTCTTTGCCCAGCATTGCAATCACCCATTGAGTACCAGAGACGGGAGAGCCAGACCAACAGCCTGGGGCGACAAGGAGGGCCTGGGGTGGGGAGCCCCGGGAAAATGCGGCCTGGAGACCGGGCCCAAGTCAGCACACACAAGCCCATCAATGGCTCTCTCCCCTCCCTGCTGCTGTTACCCAAAGGGGAGGTGGCCAGCGGCCCGCTGCCCCTGGACACACAGGTATAAAGAATGGTGTTTGCCTGGTTATAGGGGTAGAATGGGGAGGGCCTCTCTTGTTCCAGGGTCCCCAAATCCTTCTCCCCATATCATTCCTCTTCCACCGCCTTCCTTCTGTCTACTCCTTTCTATTTCCTATTTCTTACCCTTCTCCCTCTACTTTCACTGATGGTCTCAGGTAATCTAAGATGTCTGTCTGGCAAAAGGTGGCTTCACTGGGGGCTTACACTGAAAAGAGAGGAGCCGGGGTGGATTCCTGAACTTTTTTGATTCTCTAATTTGATTATTTCTTCAGGCCCTCGGTGACATCCCCCAGGTTCCTCGTGACTCTCCTTCAGTTCCACCAGTTTCAAACACCCCGCCCTGCCAGGCCAGACTTGCCAAGTTGGATGAAGATGAGCTGTAACTGGTAAAGACCACAGGGGTGGTGCTGACTCAGCTACTCTCTTTCCCAAGGAACTTCAGGGCAATCCTTCTGGCACTGCTCCAGAATCCCTCCCTCTTGGTGTGTCTGGAGGTGGGCAAGGCTGGGAGTGGTGTCAGCTTGGAGGAGGGTACCTGAACTCAAAAAGACTTCTTTCTGTTCCGGGAACACAGGTTCCTTCAGCTCCCACCCCTATGCATGCATCACAGGTCCTCCACAAAAGAAGGATATGTGGGTGGGTGGGAGGGCTGGGGCAAGGGCCAAATAGAAAATATTGGTTTTGATTTTGTTTTTTTCTGTTTTCTGAGAATAAAGGTTTTGTTATATCACTGAGGCTACTGTCTTGGCAGAGGGAAGGGAAGGCTGTGGTGGGGGGAAGTGGTACGGAAGAGATCAACTGACCTCTCCAATCAGTTTGAGCGGGGGTCTGGTGAAAGGAGAAGGGCACAGGCTGTAAGATAAAAGACGATGCTACATCTCAGTCCAGGCCTGGGACTTGGGGCCCCTGGAAACTCTAGATCCTTAATGAATCCTCCACCTTACCCAGCCCTTCTTTCCCATTTGGCCTCTGATCTAGACCCCACGGGAAAGCCCAATGTAATCTGATTGCCCACCACTCCCCCCAAATCCAGACGCTAAAGTACCAAATGCCAATGTACCTTTCCTTCTGAGGCTTCCATGTTCAGCTGAGGTAGAATGGGAAGGTGGAGAGGATGCTGGAGACCATAGCCTCTTCTGTCTCTGGGTCTTCTTATTTTTGCTGTCTGGGAAGTCATAAGGCATATCCACACTGAACAGGAATGGATTTCTCTTCAAGCCATAGACCCAAGATTGTAGAGGCCAAAGGGGTCTTCACCCCTCCCAACTCCTGGGGCAGCCCCAGGGACAGAGAAAGCTAGACGTGCAGAGATCCATGTCCAGATTGCCTGTCCTGGGTCCTTGGTCATCGGGGTGGCACTGTCCCTTTGTCCCCTGGGCCTGGTCACGTGTACTTGGGCTTCCTCAGCAGACAATAGACTGCTAGGGTGGGGGTGGTGAGGAGGAGCTGGAGCCTCCCTCTGGGGCTGAGGTCCCTCTGGCCGACAATGCGGGGAGGGGCCTCTTAAGGGGGAGACAGGACGCCCAGCCCAGATAAGACCGAGGGGAAACAATAGAAGGAATTGAAGAAGAGAGACCCACCCTCACTGTTCCCCACCCCCATGACTTTGGGGTCAGGGACTGGGGACCAGAGGGTGATGGGAAGGGGTGCTAAGGATTCCTGAGAGTGGAGGAGGGGATGGGGCAAATAGGATTCTAGAGCTCAGAACCTCTGCATCTCTTTAGGGATCCATGGGGTACATGAGGTGGATGGACGGGTGACTCTTTTGTACCTAATATAACCACAAATGTGTATTTGAGTGCCTACTTTGTGACTTGCACTTGTATGTAATACATGGTGTTTTGGGGGTTTTTTGGCTTCTAAGAAATAAAAAAAAAAAAATTCCTATCAGTTCAGTATTCTTCCTGGGGTCCTGAACAAGGGATTTAGGCTCAGGCTCTCCTGCAAAGTTGTGGAATGGTGGTTCTCTGTCGTCCTGTCTGACACATATCTGCTTCCCATCTAGTTTGTGGAACTGAAGAGGCCAGCAGACTGCCTTACGCTTTCTTGGGGACCACCTGGGCCTCAGAGGCTCTGGGTCTGGGGAGAGGAGACGCTGGGGTCGGAACCGTTGGACTCTCTTGCTCAGTGGCTCTAGGAATGAACCTAGAGGAGCCAGCTTCTGTCTTGGCCCAAAGAGTAGATTCAAAGGGAACTCAGGGAACAGGTGGAGAGTGAAAAGGCTTAGGAGTGGTAGGTAGTGGGGGTTAGGTGTTGAGGATGTGCTTGCCTTTTGGCTTATCTCTCTGGTCCCTAAACCTTTCCACAGCCCTCTCCCCTGGCAGCTTGCGACTTTGCCAAGGACATCTGAGGAAGCGCCTAACATAGAGATCTTCCTCCCCACCCCAAAGCTCAGCTCTCTTCAGCATAAGGGCGCCTCCAGGGCCGGATTGGGCCCTGCTTCAGGGAGGCGGGGCTCAGGCTGCCGGTGGAGGGGTATTTAAGACTGGGCGGAGTTGGAGGTGGCCAAGGGCAAAATGAGTGGGCTCCTGGGCGCCAGGACCTGCTCCAGCCCAGGAGAGGCCTCCGACCTTAAGTTCCCACTGGGCGCCAAGTTCAGGGAACCTCTCACCCAGGCGCGGTTCCAGCAGCTCTTCGGGGGCGCAGAGCAGGCGCAGGAACCACTGGCTGAGTCCCGCTGGTCCGGGCTGTGCAGAAGGTGGAGGCGGCGAGCCCCCGCCTGCTCCGGGCCGGGGGCGTGGCGCCTGCTGCAGGCGCGGCTGCCCCCCCTGCGCTGGCTGCCCGAGTACCGCTGGAGGGCCTGGTTGCTTGGGGATGCGGTGGCTGGAGTGACCGTGGGCATCGTGCACGTGCCCCAGGGTGAGCGCCCCCCCCCCCCAACACCAACCTGTCAGAGGGCTGGGGAGATGAGGGGTGGGGGGAGGGGACGGGACTCGGGAGCCAGGTGGCAGGTTCATGTGGTTGAGGGTTCGGAGACAAGTTCTGGGTAAGGACTGTGGAGCTCCATCAGATCCCCACCCCCAGCTGCCCTCATGTGCGCAATCCCTGAAGAAGTCTCAGACTCGTTCCGGCTCAGGGAACTGGAGAGAAGAGGGAAGCACAGCGCCTGCCCCCCCGGGTCTCCGCTGGGGTTATGGATCTGTGACCTTGCCCACCCAGCGACCCCCCCCCCAACCAGGCCCGTTAACCCCTCAATTCCCTCTGTGCCAGCCTCTGAGAGTGGAAAGGGGGCAGCATCCTGAAGCTGGGCACCCTCCATCCCTCCTCCCCATCAGATCTTTCCTTTCTCCTTCCACCCTCCCCTCCAGGCATGGCTTTTGCCCTCTTGACCTCCGTGCCCCCTGTGTTTGGCCTCTACACGTCTTTCTTTCCCATCCTCATCTACACCTTGTTGGGCACTGGAAGACACCTGTCCACAGGTGAGTGACCCAGTGCCCGCTGTGGGGTGAGAATGGACAGAGGGTTTGAGGCTTCCGTTCTTGTAAGCATCCTAGTTCTCATCCCCCAACGCACCACCGTTCCCCTGCCATGACCCTCTGACCTCGGCAATGCTCATTGGGGGTGCAAAGAGGTGGGAATTTACTCAGAGTTTTCCCCCCTCGTGACATTGGGTTTAATTTTCTGGGATTTGGAAGAGGGGAGAAGAGATGTGCGGTCACCCCGAGGAGCACGCAATGCCCGGCAATTGCAGGAGGGGATGGTGGTGCAGTCGACACAGTTTTCTCCCGTTATTGCCCTCTCCTAACCTCCCTGGTTCCGGGCTTCTGCACCCGGGCTCAGCTTTTAGGGGAGGGCTCAGCTTCTAGGGAGCGAGGTTCCCCGGCCCCGCCGCCTGGGCCGAAAACACAGAGCCTGGGCTGTCGCAGCGCCCCCAGGCGGCTCTGCTGGTTATTTCTGCGTTTGTCCCGCGGCCCTAGGAACGTTCGCCGTCCTCAGTCTCATGACGGGCTCCGCCGTGGAGCGGCTGGTGCCCGAGCCGCTCGGGGGGAACCTGAGCGCCATCGAGAGGGAACAGCTGGATGCCCAGCGGGTCGGGGCAGCTGCGGCCTTGGCCTTTGGGAGCGGGGCGCTGATGGTGAGGGAAGTCTGGGGGTGGGGGGGTGTCCACGCTGGGGGCCCGGGGTAACTGATCCGGCGGTGGGAAGGGGGGGCAGGTCGCCCGCGCCCATCCGGGTCAGAGGTGCAGGCACCCCGCGCTCCAGCCGGGCCGCTCCTTCTCCGGCGGTGACCGGCCATCTCCCCCCGCAGCTGGGGATGTTTGCGCTGCAGCTCGGAGTCCTGTCCACCTTGCTGTCTGAGCCGGTGGTCAAAGCGCTGACCAGCGGAGCGGCGCTGCACGTGCTGGTGTCCCAGCTGCCCAGCCTCGTGGGGCTGCGCCTCCCGCGCCAGATCGGCTGCTTCGCCCTCTTCAAGGTGGGCGAGGACGGGAGAGAACGGGCCAGGGGCCGCCAGCGGTCCCAGAGGAGGGGACCGGAAAAGGGAGGAGGGAAGGACGAGTGGAGAGACCGTGTAACGGGGCGGGGAGGAAGGAAGGTTGACCCAGAGGCTGAAGGAGGGTCCCCGTGGAGGCAGGAGCCCCGATGGGAGCCGGGAGAGCCCGGCCCGGGTCAGGTGGGCCCGCCGGGACAGTCGCCCCCAGCTCGGGGCCCTCTGCTCTCCGCCGCCCGCAGACTCTGGCCGCTGTGCTGACTGCGCTGCCCCAGAGCAGCCCGGCCGAGCTGACCATCTCCGCACTCAGCCTGGCGCTGCTCGTGCCCGTCAAGGAATTGAACGTGAGGTTCCGAGACAGGCTGCCCACCCCAATCCCGGGGGAGATCGTCATGGTGAGGATGGCTCCTGGGTACCGGCCCCTTGCGCCTCACAAACCCAGCCCATCCTACAGAGACTGGCCGCTGCCGCCCCCTAATGGAGTGCGGAGAGGCCGCAGCCGAAAGAGCCTGCTTACACAAGTCCTTTGCTAGGCTTCTTCCCACTTGGACCCTCCGTTACCCCTCACCCCCGCCCCCCAACACACACACACACACACACACACACACACACACATTTCCTCTCCTCTCGCCCAGTTCCCTCCGCTGCTCTTAGGGCGCCTTCTTCCTCTATTTCCATCTCGCTCCTTGCTGGGTCCTTCACTGTAACTCCCTTTCCCTTTCCACACCTACCTATGTTTCTCTCAAAAAATAAATATATGTATTTATTTTTTTACAGAGAGGAAGGGAGAGGGATAGAGAGAAACATCAATCAGCTGCCTCCTGCACATGTGCCGGCAACCAAGGTACATGCCCTTGACGGGAATCAAACCTGGGACCTTTCAGTCCGCAGGCCTACGCTCTACCCACTGAGCCAAACTGGTTTCGGCCTTAGTTTCTCTTTCCAAGTAAATAAATGTTAACATCTCCAAAGATAGACTACACATCCACAGGCATAACCAAACTTCCCCGCTTAGAATGGCTCGGCTTTGCCTCCTAATACCCACATGCCTCCCTCATAGGAGCCTCCACACACACACACACACACACACACACACACACACACACACACACACTTCCCTGCCATCCATCTCTCTCCATAGCCACAGAGAGGCACCACTCCTCTTTTCACCCCCCCCCTCTCCTTCACGCTAAATTAGTTTTCGGGGCAGCCATCCCAAACACACCCAAGCTCCCCCAGTGGCTAGGCTCTGGCAACCACCGAGTCCTGCATTTCGGTCCTCTCTCACGTTGGGCCCTGTAGCCTCGGCCAGGGGACCCATTTTCCCTCACGCCCTACCGCTCGCTCTTCCCCAGGTGCTTCTGGCCTCTGCGCTCTGCTTCGCCTCGTCCCTGGACACCAGATATGATGTCCAAATAGTGGGGCTGCTGCCTGGAGGGTAAGAGAATGGAAGAGCACCAGTGTGCTCCTCTCACACCCAATTCCTCCTTTTGTCCTGCCCCACCCTTTTGGTCTCTGTCTTCCCTATAACCCCTGGTAAACCCAACCCGTCTTTACCTTGGACCCCTCTCTCTCCAGATTCCCCCAGCCTCTCCTCCCCAACCTGTCCGAGCTGCCGAGGATTCTGGGTGACTCGCTGCCCATCGCGCTGGTTACCTTTGCTGTGTCCGCCTCCCTGGCCTCCATCTACGCAGACAAGTACAGCTACACTATTGACGCCAACCAGGTGTGGTTCCGACTGAGCTCTCCAGCCTCCCTCAGGAGACAGCTCCCTAATGTCACCTCCCATGCCTGTCTCTCTCTTCCTCTCACTGTACACCCCAGGAACTCCTGGCTCACGGGGCCTCCAACCTCATCTCCTCGCTGTTCTCTTGCTTTCCCAACTCGGCCACATTGGCCACCACCAGCCTGCTAGTGGATGCTGGTGGGAACACCCAGGTAAGAGTGTGTCCTTGAATGGGGAGAAAGGGGGAGAAAGGGGGAGCGGAAAGGGGGGGGGGCGCTCAGGTCCAGGTGGTGGAGAAACAGGTGGCAGCTATATAATGGAGGATGGGACTCAGTGAGGGAGGGGAAGGGATTATCTAGGTTGGAGAGAAAGAAAAAACTAAGTTTCTTTTTTAAAATATATTTTATTGATTTTGTACAGAGAGGAAAGGAGAGAGATAGTTAGAAACATCGATGAGAGATAGATATCGATCAGCTGCCTCCTGCACACCCCCTACTGGGGATATCCCTGCAACCAAGGTACATGCCCTTGACCGGAATCGAACCCGGGACCTTTCAGTCCCCAAGCCAACGCTCTATCCATTGAGCCAAACCGGTCTTGGCAGAAAAAACTAAGTTTCATTAAGACCTTTATTGTAAGCACTCACAAAGTTTATGGTGCCCCATATGTAGTTCAAAGTAAAAATATTACTAAATTGTAAAATAAATTTGAGACAAAATTCTAATTTTTTTTTTTTTTCGGTAAGGACATTTTCACTTGAAAAGAAATATCACATAGCAAACGTTCCCCTCATATTTTTATATTTTTGGTTTCTGTTACTCAGTTGGTGGCCTAAGCATGTGGTCGGCCTGCTTTTAGGGTAATCCCACTGTGGCCTTTAAGACGGAGGTGGGTTACAGAAATAGAAAAGTTGAACTACATCTAGGAGAGACTAGTGAATGAGGCATTTAATTGGGGGAAAGGGAAAGGTAGGTGTAAACAGCAGAGTATCAAGAAGCTCATGAAGCTGAAACCGGTTTGGTTCAATGGATAGAGCGTCAGCTTGGGGTCTGAAGGGTCCCGGGTTCGATTCCGGTCAAGGGCATGTACCTTGGTTGTGGGCATATCCCCAGTAGGGGGTGTGCAAGAGGCAGCTGATCGATGACTCTCATCGATGTTTCTAACTATATCTCTGTCCCTTCCTCTCTGTAAAAAATCAATAAAATATATATTTTTTTTAAAAAAGAAGAAGCTCAAGAAGAGTGAGGAATATCTGTGTGGAAAGGGACTTGGGGGGACAGAGACTTTTATGGAAGATGAGGTCCAGTAGGCAGGGAGACCACATGAGGTGGGTGAGAGTCCCTTCCTTTTTTGCTTCCATTGACTGCTCCCGTTAGCTGGCAGGCCTCTTCTCCTGCATCGTGGTCCTGTCAGTGCTGCTGTGGCTAGGACCCTTCTTCTACTATCTGCCTAAGGTAAGGAGCAGCGGCAGCATGGCGGTGACCTGGAGGGGCGGCTCTATTCCAGAGTACTGGGGTGGTTAGTTCCTTTCCTTTGCCCCAAGGCTGTCCTGGCCTGCATCAACATCTCCAGCATGCGCCAGATGTTCTTCCAGATGCAGGAACTTCCACAACTATGGCGCATCAGCCACATGGACTTTGTGAGAAACAGCAGCATTGCCCTCTCCCACTTTCCCAGCATCCCCAGCCTCTCCCCTAGTTCCCAAGTTCTGTAACATGCACACCTCTTCATCCCTTTCCTCCGGGGTTTGAACCTCTTCAGACCTGAATATTTGTAACTCCCCCGGGGGTGCAAGGTCTGGGGTCAGTGTGTTTGGTGTGTATCCATCGTTGGTTCCATTCTATCCCTTCCTTCTGTCTTCCTCTCTGCCTTCTCCTAAGCCATCCCTCCCCTTCACTTGCCCTGGCAGCCACTGCCCCTGGACCCTTTTCCTTAGCGGTGATGGCCTGGCCCTTCTCCTGGGCACTTCACGCCCATCTCTGTCCTGCAGGCGGTGTGGATGGTGACGTGGGTGTCTGTCGTGGCCCTGAGCGTGGACCTGGGCCTGGCCGTAGGGGTGGTCTTCTCCATGATGACTGTGGTCTGCCGCACCCAGAGGTGGGAGTGGAGATGAGAGGAGCCAAGATGAAGGGAGGGGCGAGAACAGAGTGCTTGGGGTGACTCCTCAGCCAGGCCGGCTGGGAGTCTGACCCCAGCTTCCTGCCTAGGGTGCAGTGCATGGCCCTTGGACTAGCCGAGGGGACGGAGCTCTACCGGCCTCTCAGAGAGAGCCACAAGGTGGGCGGGCTACAGCCCAAGGGGGGGCGGGATGATCCCACCTGGATGTTTCTCTGACCCTCTGACCCCTCAGCTCCTCCAGGTCCCAGGGCTGTGCATCCTGAGCTACCCAGCACCTCTCTACTTTGGAACCCGGGGGCAGTTTCGGCACAACCTAGAGGGGCACCTGGGGCTTGGCAGAGGCAAGGTGAGGGACTTGGTCAGAGGGGAGTGTGGATTCTCTGAGGGGGAGGCAGATGGGTTTCTGACCTGTGCTCAGGTGCGCACGGTCATGCTTGTGCCTCACACGTGGTGATCGCTCTTTCCTACTCACAGGAGACTTCAAAGACAGGTGGCCCCCCTGATGCAGGTGAGAGGGGATGACAGGAGGAAGGTTTGGGAATAATCCCTGGGAGCACCTGGGTACTCTGCCTTCTCCCCTCCTAGTTGCTGTGCCTGTCAGAGTGGTGGTCCTAGACTGCAGTGGAGTCACCTTCGCCGACGCTGCTGGGGCCAGAGAAGTGGTGCAGGTGAGGAAGAGGGGGGTTAAGGAGACACTCCCCTTATCACCCCGGGCATACTCTCTGATGTAGGGTGTAACCCACTGCCCCGCCTCTGCAGCTGGCCAGCAGATGCCAAGACGCTGGGATCCACCTTCTCCTGGCTCAGTGTAATGGTGAGGTGTGGAGTAGGGAGGGAACTGGAGATGGGGAATGGCTGGACACTTGGGGGAGAGAAGAGGACAGTGTGGACTTAGAGCCTGACCCCCTCTCCACACAGCCTCAGTGCTCAGGACACTGACCCAGGCGGGACTCCTGGACAGAGTGACCCCAGAGCAGCTGTTTGTGAGTGTTCAGGATGCAGCTGCTCATGCCCTGGAGAGACTGGTGAGGGGATAGCAGCAAAGGGGTGGAAGCCAGGAGGTGCTGGGCTGTAGTGAGGGGTGAGTCAGTGGCTGAAGATCCAGGCAGAGGGGTTTAAGAAGGGGGGCTGAGGAGGAAGATGAAGGGAGGGATGGGGATGAAATGATTAGTTAATTTAACAAGATTAAGGCAGGGAACCCTGGCTGAGTGGCTCAGTTGGTTGGAGCGTCTTCCTATATATTAATAATAATAATAATAATAATAATAATAATAAATTTGCGGGTTTGATTTCTGTTCAAAATACATACCTATATTCTGGGTCCAGTCCCCAGTCAGGGCGCATATAAGAGGCATTTGATGGATGATTCTCTCTCACATCCATGTCTATCTCTCCCCCCCTCCTCTCTCTAATCAATAAATGTACTTTGGGTTGAGGATTTTTTTAAAAAAGAGAGAAAGCTAGAGAGAATGGGCCTACCTATGGGTGAAGAGCGAGTAACTCAAGGTCCCAGAGGTGTTGGTGTGCCCCTCAGACTGCCAAGTCCCGGATGAGGAAGGAGGCGCACTTCCCCTATTCCTGACACGTGCCCTCCCTTTCCCAGGAGCTCACGGGTCCGAAGACTTGCACTGTATGGCTCTGACCGGGTCACTTGGGAGTATGGAAGGCCCAACAATATGCATGCGAGGGCCTTGGCCCGTAAGTCCCCTTACTTGATGTAGCTAATGAAATAAAGCTGAGAGCCTCTGGGATTCATGGAGTGAGCCTGGGTGTCCACACGCCCACAGCGTCGCAAAGACACAACGAAGGATGCGTTCACCTGTGTGTTCACGAGCCCTCACCCCGGCTCCCATCACCAGGTCTCTCCGTGGGGTTGGGGCTGCAGCGGGGACACAGCCCTGGATCCAGAGGTGGGGGAGGGGGGCACAGCCCTGGGAGTACATGGTGGGGCCTTCCCCACCCACTCAGTCACCGGGAGACGAGTGTTTCCGCGTGAGGGTCTCAGTCCTTTGGGCACTTTGGCACTTGGAAAGTGACGCCCCGCCCCCATGACAGGGTGGAGGGAGGACTTGGCACTGGCTGTGGGGAGAGTTATGGCTCCATCACACCCTGGGGCACTCACGGGAAGGGGGAGTGTCACCAGGACTAGCCCCCATTTGGGATCAGGTTCTGAAGGGGGTTGGGGACAGTCCGTGGAGTGGTCACGGGGTATCAGGGTTTGCTAGAAATTTCTGGCAGGGACAAGAAGGCAGGTCCAGCCTGACAGTTGGAAGGCCCCGAGCGGCCTTCACTCCGAAGTCATGCACTGCAGTCGGTGTTTGAAGAAGAGCAGGCGTTGTCTGGCCACGTGACTTGCGTCCAGTGATCCTGGGTAACGGTACCGGGCATAGGTCTCTGCCCCAGGATCCCTGGATGTCCAAGGCAGCTTCACTTTGGACGCGTGATCCACTACGACGTCTGAGCAGGATCCCACCCGAAGGGAGCCAAGTCCATCCAGGAAGAATTCTGGGGGTGGGGGGAAAGGGGGTACACAATGAAGGGTTTTGAGAGTGCATTAGGCCAGCCCTCAGGGAGAACTGAGAGTTGGGGTATTTGGAGGGTGCGCATGCACAGACCCCGTTCCTAAGGGCCAGGGGAAGGGGCTGGGAGTGGGGTAGAGGTGGCAGGGAAGTTCAAGGTGGACCCAGCAGCTGAGAAGGTTTACGTGTGTGCAGGCCAGGAGGGGGAAGCTCTTTCTCTTGGTAAAACTTAGAAGAACCGCTCTAGGGGAGCCGGATGGCAGCCCTGGGCTCCGCGGCGGCGCCCTTGCCGCAAGGAACCTCGCCTCGCAAGGGGGCCTGCCAGGAGAGGGCGCCACTCACCCAGGTGCGCCACCCTGTTGAGGCGCGGGTCGAAGCCGACCTCCCGCACTTTGTCGGTGCGCGCCAGGAAGAAGTTGACCACGCCGTCCGTGACCACGCAGCCCGGGAAGCCGCTGAGCTCGTGGTGAAAGCCCTGCTTTTGCCGGAAGCAGTTCCCGCGGCCCGGCGCGCCCGGCTCCACGCTCAGCCGCTGCCGGTAGGTGGTGGCAAAGCCCGAGATCTCGCGCACAGCGCCCCCCACCTGCGGGGAATGGGAGGGTGGCTTCAGGAGGGCAGGGACTGGGAGGGGGTAGGTCTGTGCTCCCGCCACCCCCTCCCTGTTCTTTCTCTCTTTCTCTCTTTCTCTCTTTCTCTCTCTCTCTTTCTCTCTTTCTCTCTTTCTCTCTTTCTCTCTTTCTCTCTTTCTCTCTTTCTCTCTTTCTCTCTTTCTCTCTTCTCTCTCTCTCTCTCTCTCTCTCTTTCTTTCTTTCTTTCTTTCTTTCTTTCTTTCTTTCTTTCTTTCTTTCTTTCTTTCTTCCTTTCTCTTTTTCTTTCTCTTTCTTCCTTGGTTCCTTCCTTCCTTCCTTTCATATATTTTATTGATTTTTTTACAGAGAGGAAGAGAGAGGGATAGAGGGTTAGAAACATCAATGAGAGAGAATCATCGATCAGCTGCCTCCTGCACACTCCCCACTGGGGATGTGCCCGCAACCAAGGTACATGCCTTTGACCGGAACCGAACCCAGAACCCTTCAGCCCGCAGGCCGATGCTCTATCCACTGAGCCAAACCGGTTTCGGCTGCCCTGTCCTTTCAATTCTATCCCTTCGGGGCCTAGATACACCCCAGGCCCCGCTTCTTCGTCCTCTCTGGTCCCAAGGGCTGGCTGCTCTCCAGCCGCGGTTTGAACCCCCTGGGAGCCCCCTGGCTCCACCCCCACACCCTGCGGCCCCTCCCCTACCAGGTCCAACGGCGTTCGCTCCAGCACATCCACCAGCCTCTCCAGCTGCGTCCGCGCCGTGAAGATAAAGTCGTCGTCCACCCACAGCACGTACTTGGTGGTCACTTGGGACACGGCCAGGTTCCGGCCTGCGAACCAGCCCTGGGAAGGGTACGTATGGTTGGCGAAGCCGTGGTTAGGACGTACCTCTTTGCCACCTTTCCTTTCCACTCTGGATCACTCTAAACAGCCTGTACCCCTCTCCACACTTGCAGTTCTTGTGACTTGCGGGAAGCTAGGTTAAAAAAAAAAAAATACAGTTTCCCATTGTCAGAGGTTCTGAGTCAGTGTTTGGGGGCGGGGGGTGGTCTTGGAATGCATTTAGTTCCTGAGTGCATTTATTCAACTACTGACCACGCACCCACTAGGTGCTAAGCGCCATTCCAAGAATGCAGCGCGAATGAAGTAGACACGATTACAGGCTTTCTGCTTTCACCAGCTGACATTCCGGGAAGCCTCCGGGTGAAGAGGCATCCCCGCGGTTCTGAGGAGATAATCCGGGGAACCACTCATTACTCTGGAGACTGCGCGCGCGCCCCCTCCCGGCGCCCCGGGGCGCTGGGCTCAGTCCGGCTCGCGGCGCACCTTGCCAAAAGGCATGAGATAGTGCTCGATGTGGGGACCGCTGATGATCTCTGGCTTGTCGCTGTCGTCGGCGATGATCACTGTGACGGTCGGGTAGAAGCGGCGGATGCTGGCGATGAGTGCCCGCAGCCGATCATAGCGGAGGAAGGTCTTGGTGGCAATGGTGACCAGAGCGCTAATGTTGTACTGGGCTGGGAGAAGGGGGCAGAATTAGGCGCAGACGAGGAAGGTGGGTAGTGAGGAGCAAGAAGACATCTCCTCCCAGGCAGCCCTTTCCCAACTTGTTCCCCACGGGGCTGCACCCATGTCCCTGCAGGCAGGAGCCTCACCTCCCTGTGGTGGAGACCCAGGCGGGTACAGCCGGGGGTTGGGGAGATGTCTTATGTGAATGGTGAAGGCTGCCTCATGTCCCTCGGTGGAGAACCGGACTGGGAAGAAAGGACGTGAAATGTGGAGCAGCATTCTATTTTTAGTAAATAAATATTTAAGTGCTCATTCTGTGTATCACCTTTCTAAGCCCTGGCGGACAAGAAGGCAATGTTCTTACCCCCAGGGAACTTACATTCTAATGGGTGGGAGTGAGATGAGAAAGCATTTAATTTAAAAGCTAGCCTTAATTGAGCATTTACTATGGGCCAGGCCCTTTTTAAATTACCTTAAGTGGTAATTTTAAACAGGGACTTGTTTAATCTTCACAATATGAGGCATATTCCTACTACAGAAAAAGAAGGCACTGAGGAATTGAATAATCTGCCACGTTCAGACAATGATTTAAGCAACAAAGCTGGGATAGAAACCTGGTCTGGTTTCAGGTTAAGTAAATAAGAAAAGTCCAGGTACTGGTAAATATTGAATAGAAAATAAGGCAAGTAATGTGATAGTGAAGAGGAGACATTTGAGCTGAGATCCAGATGACAAGGAGGAGCCAGCCATGCAAAAATCTGGGGGAAGAACATTCTAGGCAGAGGGAACAGCAGGGGCAAAGGTCCTCAGTGGGAGTAGGTTTGGTGTGGCAAGCCTTGGCGGGTAGGTCCCTTTTGCTTGACGTGGGAGCTGTGGGAGATAAAGCCCTTTGCCCTGTAGGAGGTGATAGGCTGGGAATAGACTTTGTCTTCTGGCTCCTGGGGCAGGACACTTCCTGGGCCCCTATGGTTGGCCTGAGGAGGGGACACACCCAAAGCTCAGATTTCCCTCTGGCCTGCTCTGGCCCCAGACAAACAAAGGCCCCTTCTCTCCCTCCTTGGCCCCGCTGGCCCAGATGAAATGCCCATTGTGTGGCCAGGCAGGTCTGGACATTGTCCGAGTATCTCCCACACCCTCTGCCGTTTGCCCGACCCAGCCTTTCTGGGTTCTCTCTGTTCACCCAGACTGCCCCTGCCTCCACCCAGCGCCCCGCACCTGTGTCTGCTGTGTTTGCCTGGTAGCTTCGGCTGCTGTAAGTGACCAGTTGCAGCTGCCGATTGAGTTGGTCCAGTCCTGAGCTGATGAGGGTGAGATTTGGCTGCCCCTCCCCCGTGAGAGTCACTCCAGTCACTTCCCCTGCCACGTCCCATGTGCCCAAGGAGGCGGTCAGGTTCACCTGGGAGAAGGTATTGGACAGTGCAGCGTCAGCCCCCAGACCTGCCTCTCGCTGCCCTGATTCCCCCATCCTTCCTTTGGCAGCTCTGTTTCCCTTCCGGCATCCTTTTAAAAAAATATGTGTATTTTTATTGATTTCAGAGAGGGAGGGAGAGGGAGAGATAGATACATCAGTGATTAGAATCATTGATTGGCTGCCTCCTGCACACCCCCTACTGGGGATTGAGCCTACAACTCAAGCATGTGCCCTCGACCAGAATCAAACCCAGGACCCTTTGGTCCACAGGCCGACGCTCTATCCACTGAGCCAAACCAGCTAGGACCCTCCCAGCATCCTTGATGCTCACTTGGCCTCCCCACCCCCCTGTTTCTTCTCACCTGATATACCTCCTGACCAGACGCAGCCTGCAGGCTCAGCCCTGGGAGGAAGGAAGGGGATGAGAATCACAGACAGTTTTGCTCACTTTCTCTTCCTTTTTTTCACAACACAGAGAACTCCTTACCCCCTTCCTCTTGTTGCGGCGGCTGGGCACAACGGCTGAAGTAGCCTAGAGTAACTGTTTAACTCCTTCCCATCCAAGCAGTAGCTCTTCAATGGCCTGCCCTACCCTTGGTCAGACTGCAAAGAATAGATTCTTTTCTCCAAACTCCCCTAGTTAGTCTTCTGCAGTTCCTGGCAACTAAGAGTCCCTTCGGTCCCATCTCCCCCTGCTGACCTCAAGCCCCTCTTGCATCGGAAGACGCGTGCCTCGCATTCCAATCTTCCCGCCTCCTTCCCCACCCAGGCCCAGGCCCAGGCTCTGCACTCCCACGGTGGCTTCTCCCCACCTGGCACCAAGATGCTCCTGAGGGGCTGTACCTCCACGCCCTGCACGGGATATTGTAGGGGGCAGTTGGCAGGGGCAATGAGCAGTTGGTCAGCAGCAGACTGGCTTCTGTCAGTGGAGGAGGGGAAGAACAGGGAGAGTCAGGAGGAGAGGGGCTCTCCCTCCTGGTCCCTCCACCCACCCCCAAGGCCGCCTACTGCTCTCCACCAGCACAGTCACTTTCCTCTTGGTACCTTGAAAGGAAGGCCTGGAACTCCTGCTCCCTTGAGGCCGAGGCAGTCTTCAGCTCCTCGGGGTCAAAGGCCTCGGTGAAGTCTGTGGCATGGACCTGCGTCTGGAAGGGGAGGTGAAGGATCCCAGCGCTGGACTCACAACTGCAATTGTTTGCAGACAGCAGCCTGGACAGGGGGTGGGGGGGGGGGGGAAGGCAGGGCGGGGGTGTCATCAGAGCCCAGCCAAACAGCTCCATCCACCCCACAAAACATTTACACAGTGCCCTTCAACCCTTCCCAGCCACTATCTGTCCTCCCAAACACTGCTCTGCAAACAGTCCCTAGGTGGAGGGACCCTAAATAGGATGAACTATTCCTAAATCAGGATTCCCCAGAGGTGCAGGACAGGGCCAAACTGCTAAGATGTCAGAATTTTCTACCCACTATTCAGGACCCCATCGGGGCTTCCCTTTATGTGGACATCATAACGAGTTTCCGGGTCATCCCCTGACTGCACATCCTCCCTTCCCCATCACATGACAAGGTTCAGGGAGGGCAGATCCCGCCCCCCCCCCCACCAAGACCAAAACTTAATAGCCCCCTCCACCTCCCACCTCACCCACTCGACCAGCCAACCAGCTGGGGAAACCCAGGCACCAGAACGCAGCAGCGGAGAGAACAAAAGAGTCCCCCCTCCCCCCCCTCAGTGAGTGGCGCACTGTGGCCACCGCTCCTGGCACTCACCCCACCACTTGCTCCTTGATCCTGACGGGGATGTGGGCATAGCGGGGCTCAGGGGCCAGGCCCAGCAGCTCTGGCCTGGGGGGACCCTGCAGGGGCGCCCACAGCGGGAGGAGTATCGGGCGGTCCGAGGTATTCCGGGTCCGAGCGTACAGGAGCCCCAGCGAGGCGCCCACGAGCAGCAGAACAAGCACACAGAGGGCCCTGCGGCCCAGCCGCATCCTGGGTGGACAGGAGGGGTGGCAGGGTGAGAAGGTGGGGCGCAGAGGCGTGGGCAGACCTGACACCCACGCCCCGCTGCCCAGGGCGCTCTCCGCATTTTGCGCGCTAGGGTTTGAACCGCGAATCATCCCCTCACTCCCCCGGCCTGTGTCTCTCAGCCTCCTTCTCGCCCTCTCCCGCATCTGTCTCCTCTGACACCCGAGGCCCAGCATCGTGATGCGAGGGACCGTTGGATGCGGAGGTTTCCACGCGGCCGCGCATCAGGAGAAGAGCCCCGCTTTGTTAGGGCAGCGGGGGGCCCCAAGCTGGTGGCCGCCACCTCCACCCCCACCCGAGCCCGCGCATCCCCCACTCTCCGGGCACCTGCCCCGGGTGTGCTAGCTACAAAGGGCGGCTCACATCTTGCTTGTCACGAAAATGCAGAATCACGCCCGCGCCACGGGGTGCCCCGGCGGAGGTGACCGGGTGACCGGCCTCGGGGGAACCGAGTGGACGCGGGGGTGCCTCCTCCCACCTTCGGCTCGGCCCGCGCCGACCGGGCACTGACCTGTCTAACGCTCTGAGGCCGCGGCAGGATCTCGGTCCGGGCTGCACCAGGCTCTGAGCGGCGGCCTGGGGGTCCTCATGGGGCTGCAGGCGGCCGGATGGGAGAGCCGGGGTGAGCCTGAGGGCGCGGGGGTCCTCCTGCCTCCCCGGCGCGCCGGAGCCCGCTCGCCCGCCCGCCGCCGCGCTCCCTGTGCTCTGCAGATTACGGCGCTGGGGTGGGTCTGGGCGTTTCCTGCCAGGGCGGCGGGCGGCGCTGAGGAACTGCTATGGGGCGCGGAGATACCAACCCCCGGGAACAAAGCCAGGTCTCCCCCGGCTCCCCGGCTCCGAAGGGCTCGGGCCGCCGCCCGGCGCTTCAGATCGCGGCTCCGCGCGGCTCCGCTCCGGGCTCGGTGCGGCGAAGGCTGCAGCTCCTGCGCGGGGGAGGCGGGCGCCTTCTGGTGGGAGCCGAGGACATTGCGGGGGCAGGGGGGGGTGGGGGTGGGGGAAGAAGCCGGCGCTCAGAGGTCCCTCTCCCTACACTCCCCACCCCAACCCACCCAGCCCTTCGCCTCTTGCGGTTGGGGGCATCTCAACCGTCAGCACCCAACCCTGTTCTCTGCCCTGTTAGGGGCCTCTTTCTCATCATTGATTGGTGTTAATTTTCATCACGAGCTTTGACATCTTCGTTTGCTACTTTGTCTTTTGTGAGAGTTTCTTTCTTTGTGTGTGTGTGTGTGTGTGTGTGTGTGTGTGTGTGTGTGTGTGTTGGTTAGGGGTCCTTGTATTAATAGATGACAGAAACCACTCTAGGGGTTTTTGCTGGGTATGAGGTAGCTTCCAGAGTGGTTTGGGGGCTGGTTTTTCCGTGGGTGATAGTACCTTCTATAGGCTTTTGGAAGTACTTGGGGGCATTTTTGTTGGTCACAATGACTGGCAAAGCTACTGGCAATTGATGGGCTAAATGTCCTACCATGAATAGCACAAGCCTATGTAAGAAAGACTTGTTCTTCTGATAGATAAGACAAAGGTCTCAAGAGTTTGGGCCATGCGATTTTCAACCATTTTTTAAAAATATTTTTTAGGGGGGTGGAGGCATACGTGGGGAGGGGTTTGGGATGGGAATTGGGGGATGAGGACAATTATGTGATACCATAATCAATAAAAACATATATGTTGATTTCAGAGAGAAAGGGAGAGGAAAATAGAGATAAAAACATCAATAATGAAAGAGAATCATTAATTGACTGCCTTCTGCACACCCACCTAACCCGCCCCCCCCACCCACACTAGGGATCCAGCCAAGGAATCCAACCTTGATCTCCTGGTTCAAAGGTTGATGCTCAACCACTGAGCCAGAGCCAGACGGGCTGGGCATTTTCAACCCTTTTTTTTTTTTTTTTTTTTTTTAATTAGAAAAAGCAGGCAAGGATTTATTGAAAAACTGGCCAGGACAGCTGCGGGAGCACCACACGCAGGTGGGCCCCACATGACCACACTGAGTCAGGTGTAGGCAATCTTTTTTAAAGCTTCAAACCACTGGAATTTCCCTTTGTTCTAAATTCTAAAGCCTGGGAACATGGAATGTGGCCCTATCTTGCCCATAATACAAAATCAGAACTCAGAGGTTAATCTCTAAAGGTTATCTATAGTTTCTACCCCTGAAGCTACTGAGTCAGTGGGAGTCAATCTCCTATTGTTTAAGCAAGTAATCGTAGGTCGAAGTCAGATAGCAAGGTTAAATTCAAACAGCAGTTTTTACCCAAGTATGATTGCTACCATATTTCATTCCACACTGGTTTTTATGTGCATGAGTGAAATCATTGAAGTTACGCCCAGACTTCGTGATCCCCAAGGACCACCAGGGAGCCGAGTCCAATGCAATAAACAAAAGAGCCTTTTCCATACTAGCATGGGCTCTGTCCCACTCACGCCGAAAGCATGGTGGAAGAGAGAGCGAATTTCACCAAGCCCTGGGGTTTTACTCCAGTGGTGATGTCACTGCTTTGGCTGACCCTGATTGGTTGGGTGAGGGCCAGGGTCCAGTTACAAAATGGAGGACAACTCTGCCCTGCCCCACAGTGGAGTCAGGAACCCATCCTCGCCTCACTCTGCCCTCTCAATTGACTCATCCTACTTCCTTGCTCTCCAGTTCCCTAGCATATTTAGCCTTACTTAGCCCCGGACTTTCTCACTGGTTAGCAAAAATGTTCTTACAATTACCAAGATCCCTAGTACCACAGTTCCCATCAGTACTGTCCTCTCTGAAGTACAGTTCCCCTCCTGCAGGCATCAAGTCTCCTCCTGGCCTGCATGGCGCCCAAGCTAGGGATCTCACGGGTGAGGCCACTGGTTGCCAGGTCTGGATGCCGTCTACTTCAACAGCCGTGGGCGTGCTCAGGAAATCAGTGTAGCGTCCCTTTCAGGTTGGGGTGAGTCCTTGGGCAGTGAACTTCTTTACCCACACAGAGTCTCTGGGCTGGAAGGGGTGTATAGAGTCTGCGGTGGGCACTGGCATCAATTTTTTTTTTTTTTTAAATCTCATATCACACTTAAACTAATTATTAAAATTCTACAACACACCAAAAATATATTTTTTGCTGACAAAAAAAGTAAGTATAGTTTTGATTTGACTCATTTACACCAGACAGCTGTTATTGTGTTGGCAGTTGGCAGTTTAAAAATTAGACAATCTAAGGGAAAAAGAGGTCAGTGCCTCAAGTATTGCATGTTGAAAAATTTTTTGCGGACCTGTTGAAATCATTTGCCTGGGCTATCTTTACTAAATGCTACTTTTGCTAAATGTTAAAATGTTGCACAATATTTTTTCAGACCAACTATTATACAACAGTATAAGCTTCACAGGAACCACTCTGATAAGTGTAGCCAATTGCAGGAATGAAATCAACATGTCATTGGCCAAATAGTGAATATAAGCAATGGCTAAGCCTCCCCTTTCCAGAGGCAGAGCTTTGGCTCTGCAGCCTGTCTTTTTTACTTGCTACAAGTAGTAAATAAGAACTACCTTGCAACAGCTGGTTCTTCTTTTTGAATAGAGCACGCCAAGCAGCAAAACTGAGTTTGGTAACAAGTTTGGTAGCTCAGATGGGGCACATTTTCTCTTCTTCTTTCATTTTGGGTGGCACTCTCTTAAAATAACTCCTTCTTGGCCTGATGGGGATGCTTGCCAAGAAGTCTGCAGCATCACTGAGACCGATTCGGTTCAGTGGATAGAGCGTCAGGCTGCAGACTGAAGGGTCCCAGGTTCTATTCCAGTCAAGGGCATGTACATTGGTTGCGGTCATATACCCGGTGGGGGGTGTGCAGGAGGCAGATGGTCATGTTTCTCTCTCATCAATGTTTCTGGCTCTCTGTCCTTCTTCCTTCCTCTCTGTAAAAAATCAATATTATATATTATATATTATATATTATATATTATATATTATATATTATATATTATATATTATATATTATATATTATATATTATATATTATATATTATATATTATATATTATATATATATAATATATAACATATTATATATTATATATATATGTTTTGTTTTGTTTTGTTTTTAAAGAAGAAGACTCTGGGGAGGGAGGGTATGTATGGGAGGGGGGCAATGGTAAGATATGTACACAGATAATAATTTAATAAGAAATAAAATAAAATTAAATTAAATTAAAAAAAATAAATAAAAAAAAGAAGAAGCCTGCAGCAGCACTTCTCACCTGTCTCCACTGGACCAAGGGTCTGTCCTATGGGAGATTCCCACGTCTGGCCTGCCTCCGCAGCCAAGTGGACCTGTCTCACTCAACGCTTTGGAAGAGAGAAGGTAGGTCAGGCCCCTGAATGAGTGTTCCTATTCCCATTTGGGGTATAGGGTCGTTGGAAAGAGAGCTTCAGTTCTGGTGTGTGTTTGGTTTCTGGTTGGTTGGGCAGGATTCAGGGCCTGCATCAGATCTAACTCTGAAGGGATGAGAAATGCCTGTGGGGCAATCCACGACATCCTTGTGTAACAATCTCTGGAATGGTTGTCTGTTTGTCCTGCAGGAGTTGGATTTTGTTCTTTGTATGGACCTTTGTGTTTGCCTTATTTGCCTTATATGTAAATGTGTTGGCTGTGGGAAACTCAAATTTGATCCCTGAATGGAGCCCGTTGAGGGTACATTCTTCAGAATTGGATAAAAAGAACCCTGTTTATTTGACTTAAAGAAATTAAAGTGCTTATATAAATTAAGAAATATAGTGCTCGACTGGTGTGGCTCAGCAATTGAGCATCAACCTATGAACCAGGAGATCACAGTTTGATTCCTGGTCGGGGCACATGCCTGGGTTTCGGGCGCGATCCCTAGTAGGGGGTGTGCAGGAAACAGCCGATCAATGATTCTCTCTCGAAGCGTGAGTGTGAGGCTGAGGTGGAGAGCAATGCTGAGGACCTGAAGAGAAACTCACTGACAGAGAAGGACATTTTGAAGGTTTTGTTGACTGAAAAGGGTTCTCTGGAATCCCCCTCCAGGGGTCTGTGGAATCCCCCTCAGATCTTTCTTGAAGATTCGAAGAGAATTAAATTAGAGCCATGGGGACACGGAAGGTTACCGCACCTCTGATCTTTGCCATCACTGTTGCTACAATAGGCTCTTTCCAGTTTGGCTACCACACTGGAGTCATCAATGCCCCGGAGATGATCATAAGAGACTTTATCAATTACACTTTGGAAGAGCAGTTAGAAAACCTTCCCAGTGAAGTGTTGCTGACATCCCTCTGGTCCTTGTCTGTGGCTATCTTCTCCGTCGGTGGTATGATTGGATCCTTTTCCGTTGGACTCTTTGTCAACCGCTTTGGCAGGCGCAATTCAATGCTTATTGTCAATCTCTTGGCTATCACTGGTAGCTGCCTTATGGGATTCTGCAAAATAGCGGAGTCAGTTGCAATGCTGATCCTGGGCCGGTTGATAATTGGCCTCTTCTGCGGACTCTGCACAGGTTTTGTGCCCATGTACATTGGAGAGATATCTCCTACTACCCTGCGGGGAGCCTTTGGCACTCTGAACCAGCTGGGCATCGTTATCGGGATTCTGGTAGCCCAGTTCTTTGGTCTGAAAATCATCTTGGGAACTGAAGATCTTTGGCCAGTGCTGTTGGGCTTCACCATCCTTCCATCTTTCCTTCAAATCATAGCCCTTCCATTTTGCCCAGAAAGTCCTAGATTCTTGCTGATTAACAGAAAGGAAGAGGACAGTGCTAGAAAGATCCTCCAGCAGCTGTGGGGCACCCAAGATGTGACTCAGGACATCCAGGAGATGAAAGATGAGAGTGTTAGGATGTCACAAGAAAAGCAAGCCACTGTGCTGGAACTCTTCAGATCACCGAGCTACCAACGGCCCATCATGATTTCCATCATGCTCCAGCTCTCTCAGCAACTTTCTGGAATCAATGCTGTGTTCTATTACTCAACAGGAATCTTCAAAGATGCTGGTGTTCGGGAGCCGATCTATGCCACCATTGGTGCCGGTGTGGTTAATACCATCTTCACTGTAGTGTCTCTGATTCTGGTGGAAAGGGCAGGAAGGAGGACTCTACATATGATTGGCCTTGGAGGAATGGCTTGTTGTTCTGTCCTTATGACTATTTCCATGTTATTAAAGGATTCGTCCAGCTGGATGAGCTTTGTGTGCATTGGGGCTATCTTGGTGTTCGTGGCCTTCTTTGAGATTGGCCCAGGCCCCATTCCCTGGTTTATTGTGACCGAACTCTTCAGCCAGGGACCCCGCCCGTCTGCAATGGTGGTGGCTGGCTGTTCCAACTGGACCTCCAACTTTTTGGTCGGACTGCTCTTCCCGTCAGCTGCATTCTATTTAGGACCCTACGTGTTTATTATCTTCACCAGCTTCCTCGTGATCTTCTTGGTCTTCACCTTCTTTAAAGTCCCTGAGACCCGCGGCAGGACTTTTGAGGACATTACACGAGGCTTTGAAGGGCAGGCACACATGGCTGGCAGAGCTGAGAAAGCCTCCGTTGAGATGAACAGCATGCAGCCCGACCAGGACACCACCAACGTCTAAGCCGTGCCTCCTTCCCACCTCCCTCCCAACATGAAAGTAACCTCTCCCTGAATGAGGAGAGACCTCATCAGGTTGTGACCCGGGACTGTTTCTGAATGCTGCTACTTGATTCTTTTCTCGTCCCCACACTCCATGAGCACTCAGAGGACCCCAGTGCTGGGGTTAGTTGTCGCTTCAGTGGCTTTTTAAACATTTCATTTCTTGGGCGTTCTCTTCTGTTTGGAAGAGACCAAGTGAACCTACCTTCATGTCAAGAGGGATTGGCTACTTGGCATTTGACAACTTTGCCAGCTCTCCCTCCTTTAAGTTCTAATATTGCTCCATGAGGGAATTGGGGAGAAAGTGTTCCCCAACCTCAGACTCACCAGGAAACAGATAGACTTGAGAGTGTGGAGGCAGAGAAGAATTACAAGAGCACCTTCCTCACTTCCATACAGCTCTGCTGAGCAAATTAATTTGAGTTTTATTTATTTTACCTTCTGGTTTTATTGCATAAATATTTATTTTTTTAAGTGTAATTTTACCAAATAATGAAAACATAAGGAAATTGAGGTTAGAGGGGAGGTACTTAAAGAGTTTATAGGGTGGAAGATTTGATACTGAAGAAGTTTATAGTTTAATAAGGGAAGATTTACCCAGAAATGTAATGCGTTGTTGGAAGGTCTATGATGAGGTGTGTGAGGTTTGCAGATTGCCTCTGAACAATTTCTGTCCTTCAGATGGAAATTCTCAAGTTCAGTTTCTCAGAAAAGCCATGTGCCTATGTAAAGAAGCTACTGGTTTCCTTTGGAACTTTTTTCTTTGTTTAAGATTATATGTAGTATTACTTGAAATCTAGGATTATTACTAAGGTGGGCATTGTAGTTAATGGTGGTTGATGGGTTCTGATTTTGGATGGAGTCCAGAGAAGGGAAGGCTGTTTGTAGAAATCAATCGTCTTCCTCTCATAGTGGACTCACTTTTTTTTTTTTTTTTTAAGTGCTTCTACCATTTATCTGGTGGGAGAGCAACCTAAAAATGGGTTCTTGGTAAAGGTTTGGTTTTTCTGTATTTTGAGAACAAGGAATTTTTAGATGTTTAGATTTAGAATTTAGATGTTTGAGAATTAGGAATTTTTAGATGTTTAGATTCTTTTAAATTATTATTTTGTTTTAAGCCATAGCTTTAAAAGAATTCAGAAGAGAGTGTTCAAAGCTAACTTGGAATTGGTAACCTCAGCATTGGGAGAGGATTTTTCCTGAATGACTGTTACCTATAATAGTTGAAATATGTTACTGCATTAGGGTCAGCCCATGCCTGTTTTTGTCTTGTTTCCATGTCAAGTTGCTCTTGTTATCATGTTGCCATAGTATTATGTCAGGTGCCCTAAGGGCACCTGAGTCTTTCCCACAGACCACGTTTGAGATGGTATGAGGAAATGTGCAGTGTTGCCACACTTGAGAGAGTATGAATGTATGTGCGCTGCCACTTTGCTCCGGGTGGAAGCTGTTTATTGGTAACTTGTTTCCTCTGTGTTTCTCCAGCCCCCTTTTGGATGGAATGTGTTCAAGTTTTTCCCTGGGTACATAAGTAGCACTGGCTCTGCTGGGTGGGATTCGCATCTGTGGCTTTCTTCCTAACGCAGAGAACTCCGCCTCACTCTAGACGCGGACACTGGGAGCAGGAGAGTGTAAAATGAGGGCATGTGGCCTCCTAAGGGAGCTAGAAGGAAGTCATGGTGGGGAGGAGGCATTCTTTTCAAGGGGATGAGATATACACTAAGACTTGTAAATCTGGAAAGTTTCAAAGAGTTAGATGAGATGAAGGTATTTACACTTGCCATAGGTCACAGACACCTCCACTATCTAGTTCCCTGTGTTTTTATAAATGGTGACACCCACCCTCTATTCCCTTTTCCATATGTTGCTTGACCTCCTGACCTCCCATCCCCTCCTTGGTGCTTATACATTTGAGGCCCTTCAGCCAAATCCTTGCCTATGACAATATTTAGTTCTCGGTTCTTACCATTCCCTCTGGTCTGTGAGCCTTTGGATAAAACTCAGAGCTGTGGTGTGGGGCTTTCCTCCAACTGCACCTCCACTTGTGGCTCCTCAAAACCACGGGTGGCAGTACAGTTTTCCCATTTCTCACTGACCAGACTGTGAGTATTTCCAAATAGGTTTTTTATTATTAATGTTACTGTGGTTCTTCATTTTGAAATAAAAATTCTGAATGTAAAAAAAAAAAAAAAAGATTCTCTTTCATCATTGATGTGTTGTTGTTGTTGTTTTTTTTCTCTCTCTCCTCTTCCTTTCTCTCTGAAATCAATTTTTAAAAAGATATGACTGCTGCCGAAACCGGTTTGGCTCAGTGGATAGAGCATTGGTCTGCGGACTGAAAGGTCCCAGGTTCGATTCCGGTCAAGGGCATGTATATTGGTTGCGGGCACATCCCCGGTAGGGGGTGTGCAGGAGGCAGCTGGTTGATGTTTGTCTCTCATCAATGTTTCTAGCTTTCTGTCCCTCTCCTTTCCTTTCTGTAAAAAATCAATAATATATATATATATATATATATATATATATATATATATATTTAAAAAAAGATATGACTCATTTGTTATTTCTAAAGAAGTAATTTACTGGTACCCTGTCCATTAATAAAGAGCATATATCTGCAAGGATGGTTTTGAGATCACTGGCTCTGTGTAGGTGCAGTCATGCATTTTCTTGTGTCAGAGCCCAAGCAAGTAGCTCAACTTCTGAGCAGCAGCTCATTAGCTTCCCTCCTCTCTTCTGGGAGTGGGGCAGGTCAAAGTGAGAAAGATTAAAAAAAAAAAAAGTGAGGAAGATTGCTCTCTTTATCCATAGGTAAGATGAGGCGCTTCTAAGCTGTGCCCCCTCTTTGGAGAGTGGCCCCCGCTCCGCTGGGCACAGGCCCTATGGTTGTGGGGAGTCTTCTGACTGGCAGTGGAATGGCCTGACCTGGGTGGAAGCAGCAGGGTGGAGCAGCCCAGCACTCTGCCATTGACATTGAGGAACGAAATGCTTTACTGCTAAGGTGTGAGCTGGAAGGGAGTCAGTGCAGGGAGGCCACCCCACCAGAACCTTCCTTTTAGCAGGCTGGGTCTGAATTGTGGCATGTGAGTCAAGCTGTTAAACCAGTCATGCTGGGCTGTCCTTTGCCTCTCACAGTCCTTCCTGCGTGAGATACAGGGGAGGCCTTCTCAGCCCATCTTCCCTAGGAAAGTCCCGGAGAGCCGGAAGTCAGGGCTGGGAGGAGCCAGGATGTGTAAGTGCAGTGAGAGGTGCCACTGCTCAGCGTGACAAAACGGTGCCTTTGGTGAACAGCCCCTGTGGCTTCGCTGACCCTGACTTCAACCTCCTGTTTCATTCTGATTTGAATAACAGAAGCCTACGGCTGTTTCAGTCTTCACTTTCAGTCTTTAAAAAAATTTTTTAAAAATATATTTTATTGATTTTTCACAGAGAGGAAGGGAGAGGGATAGAGAGTAGAAACATTGATGAGAGAGAAACATCTACCAGCTGCCTCCTGCACACCCCCTCCCGGGGATGTGCCCACAACCAAGGTACATGCCCTTGACTGGAATCGAACCTAGCACCTTTCAGTCTGCAGGCCAATGCTCTATCCACTGAGCCAAACCGGTTTCGGCTTCACTTTCAGTCGTGAGTTTCTGTTTCCAAACTGGGGACAAGTGGTGGAGGAGCCACAGGCTGTGAAGGACGGAAGCTGCGTTATGTAGACCTCTGGTGATCCGCTCTCGTAAGGCTCGGCCCAGTTCATAATGGGCAGGGTTTAGGGGGCAAAGAGGTTGCAAGTACATGTGTTCTCCCTGCCGCCACGAGTGGCTTTCCTGCAGGGCCCTGTCCCAGGAGAGCAGATGCAGAGGGCCCTGTCAGGACTTCCTCCCCATCCGCCCTCCCTCCCAGGCAGGTGCAGCTCTTTACTTGGCCCCATGGCAAACCATGGCTCACCGGCCAGATATTGTGTAGAATGGTCATATCTGGCATCCCTTTCCCCTCTGGGATTTCTGTGCTTCCCCACGAGGCTCACCCTTTTTGCACGGCCACTTCCTGCTCAGATCCTACCTGTCCTTCAAAGTCCTAGATACATCTAGCCGCTCAATAAGTCATTTCTGAATAAAAACCATGGCTTAGTGTGGGAACCCCTTTCACGTCCCACGTGGTCCAGGGTTCAGGTTCAGGGTTTGGGTTCTGGAGAAGGCTGCACACAAATGAAAGAGACCAGAAAAGTGTTAATTTGGGAATATCGGGGGCCAGGCGGGAGCCCACCTCTAGCGGGAGGAGGACTACCCCCCCTCTGGCTTTGCTATCCCTTTTATTAAAGTTATGGGATACACCCACATCCTTTAGGCAGGAAATTCCAATAATAGCCAATCAGCAAGAATTGATGTAAGACTAACAGGTGGAGGCTGCTTCAGCTACCAATGTCTCAACTATGATAAACAATGAGTGATTAGCTCCGACCTTTCAGAGCAATTAAGGTTGACCAGACTTCCGGATTCCCTGTCCACATCTTTCTATTAGTGAGATAATGATCGGTTTCTGGCATCTCCCCTATTTCTTTCTTTTTTTTTTTTTAATATATTTTATTGATTTTTTTACAGAGAGGAAGGGAGAGAGATAGAGTTAGAAACATCGATGAGAGAGAGTTATCGATCAGCTGCCTCTTGCACACCCCCTACTGGGGATATGCCCACAACCAAGGTACATGCCCTTGACTGGAATCGAACCCGGGACCTTTCAGTCCCCAAGCCGACGCTCTATCCATTGAGCCAAACCGGTTTCGGCTCCCCCATTTCATTTCTTTAAAAAAATCTTGCATCTGCAGACCAGAAATAAACATATAAGAACAAAAAATGTTTGAGTCCCAATTTCAATGTCCAACAGTTCTAAGTCCCAGTTTCAATGTCAAACAGTTCCTTATGTGTACATGTCAGCAATGATATCTGGATGGTGGACAAATGGTGGTAATGCAGGTCTGACCCTCTCTGGTTTGGCCTGGGCAACCTGCAGCAACACACAGCTGCTGACCGCTAGTATGGCCAGGCATCTTCAGCGTCTTCCATCTCTGCACTATTTCTCCTCTTGTCCTCATGGCTAGAGCATTCCTGACAACTCCTCTCTCTTGCAGGAATCCACATGGTCTTGGAGTTGTTTTCTGAAAATATACAAACATATTCTTAACCACAAGTTAATAGAGAACTCTTTTCTATAGATTTTACTTATAGAAAATTTATCCTTTTTATTTTTGCCCAAATGATTTTCCTTATTTTGACAAAGAGGTTGTGTTTTTCATGGGTGTCTTGCTGTTAGCATTACAAATGAAAATAATTTTCAAAGTAAAAGTTTTTTCTAGATGTATTTTCTACAGAATATTTTTCCTTACATAATATTACCTTATCACCCCCCCCCCTTTTTCTGAATTAATGGAGGCTTTTCAAAATTTTTATAATGCAGTCTTGATAACTTTAAATTTTAATTTTTTACATAAAAATATGACTGCTTTAGGTTCATTGCATGTTAAGCAATTTTACCATGAGATGAACTACCAATAGAAATTTTAGTTAATATTTTAGGAAAAGCTTTTTGTCCAGTAGAATTAAATTTTCTTGAATATTCATTTATTTTAATTAGCCAATTTAAATTAATCTGAAAACTTGACTTCTATTTGACTGTCAAATTTAATACTCTAACAACAATCTTAGTTTACGTGGTAAATATTAGTGGAAAGGATTATTTGCATTCTTGAGTAAGCTCTGAGCATTCCTGGTGCTAGGCTGGATTTACATATAGGGCAGCTGCTGTCTGCCAAGTCTCTGTCTGTTGCCTGGGTTCCAGTCTGACCTGGACGTGGGAAGCAAAGCAGCCATGGGCTCAGGAAACCTCCCTCAGAAGGTGTGAGGGTTTGGAGGGGAGCAATGAAGGAGGGGGGGAATGAGGAACATTTGTAATAATATGAGCAATAAAGATTTATTAAAAAAAAAAAAAAAAAAAGGTGTGAGGGTTCAAGTCCCTGCAATGTCGGGGAGGTGAGGGTCTGTGCCCCACCTCTGTTGTCCCCCAAGTTCTCTCCTGATGGTCCCTCTGCAACTGTGCCTGTCTTAGGTTGTTCCTCCCCTGAGGAATCTTACCCGTCTCTGGCTAACCAGCCATTCTCCAGGGCCAAGCAGGGTGATGTGAGGTTCAGTTCTGTCTCCTTGGTAGCCTATGCCCCCGTGGCCTCCACACCCAGTTCCTGCCTTGGGATCCCCTCGTCTGCTGGCAGGGCCCCGGCACTGATCACATATCTTGGGGAACCCAGGTTTCTTCTCCAGGAAGGGCCCAGCTCACACCATTAGGCGAGAGACAGATCCATGGTACCAGCCACCACGAGGCTTCAACCTCAGCATGAACAGAAATCTCAGGCCACAGCTGTGGAGGGTCCCTCTTGGCAAAAAGGGCAAGAAGGGCCAATATAGAATACTCAGGTGCCTTCCCAGTGCCTTAATTCCTTTCATGTCCTTTTTAAAATTGCTACCAAACATTCAAGTAATTAGTTTGTAAGTTTGTTTGGGATAATTGTACAATATGCTGTTATAAAATATCAAAAATTATAATTACATTGTAGAATAATATCATGTAAGGATATTCTTTGCTCTAGGCCATGGCAATTCAATTTCAAACTGGATGTCAATTATTTAGTTACTTCATTTTGCCCTTCTTAGAGTACAAAACCTTCATAACATTTAAAATATATTTATTAATTTTTTAAAATATATATATTTTATTGATTTTTTACAGAGAGGAGGAGAGAGGGATAGAGAGCTAGAAAGGTCGATGAAAGAGAAACATCGACCAGCTGCCTCTTGCACACCCCCTACTGGGGATGTGCCCGCAACCAATGTACATGCCCTTGACCAGAATCGAACCCGAGACCTTTCAGTCTGCAGACCGATGCTCTACCACTGAGCCAAACCGGTTTCGGCTATATTTATTAATTTTTATTTGATAAGGCTTTCCATGCAATTTCAAGTATGTTAGATCTGTTTTTAAAAGATTTCCTTTAAGAAGAGAGAATAAATTTCTTGTATTACTTCAGGCCCCTTGTAGTTTTCCAAGAATTGTCCATTAAAACCTTGAAATTTTAACATGGAAAAAAACATCAAAAATATATATATATGATTTAAAGATTATAATACTTTTTTTTCCTCATTTGTAATTTTAATCAAAGCATTGCTAATTCGTGGTTGTTGTTTGTAACTCTCATAAAAGCACCAAATTTTAATCATGTAAGTCAATTCGTTTTTTTTGGGAAAGCAACACCATCAGGAAGTCCCCTTCAGAATAAAACAATGATGTTCATTCTTCCAAACAACCAAATGCAAAGTCTACAAAAACAAAAACGAAAACAGCCCACACAGGAAAAAAAGTAAAAAATTTAAAAAATCACATTCTAGGGTTCAGTGCATGTAGCAGCCTTTGCTATGCTAGCTAACCATCCTTCAGCTGACTTTCAAAAAACAACACACCCTAGGTCATCAAAATATACATTTGACATTTGCCTTTTTAAATTAAAAAATAATTTAAAAAGAACTTGAAGGAATTCACAATCAAATTGCCTGACTCGTGTTGATGGCCTGGACAGCGTGTGATGGTCAGGAAGGCTATTTGTAGCACATGTGATGAGGGGATCTTGATCTTCAAGGTTTAGCTTTCTCCAAACAGTGTAAAATACCCACAATTCCAGGTATGAAGGACACAGACGATCTCCTTGGAGAATTCCACAGAACAATACAGGTGTCCAAGCTGTTCTTCGTAGAGTGACAGGGCTCCTGTCAGATTGACACAGTTCCCCTGTGTAAAATACTTCCCATCCTGTTTCAGCACTTTCATGGAGAGATCAAGAATCATTTTGAGAAACTCCCAGGTGGAATCTTCTTCCGGAGAGGTGGAGATTGGAACAGCTGTCAAATCATTAATCACATAATCAAACTCTCTCCCTTCTTCTTCTTTTCTTTTCTTTCTTTCTTTCTTTCTTTCTTTCTTTCTTTCTTTCTTTCTTTCTTTCTTTCTTTCTTTCTTTCTTTTTTTTTAACTCTCTCCCTTCTTTGGCGTACCTCTCCAGTACCGAAATACAGTCCTCTACTAGAACCTGATAGCAGTCTCCTTTAAGATTGTCTAAGACATCACCACATGTTTTTCGCATGTATTTCTTACATCCATCAATCACCATTTGGTCAATCTCTACCATAGTGACCATCTTTGGTTTCAGTTTGACTATTTCACATAAAATGCCCCCATCTCCACCTCCCAGGATCAGCACGTCTTTGCCAGTGTAATCTTCTTTGCCTCTGCCCATCATGGCCCGGGTATACGCCAAATCACTCTCCGCCAGATTAACATCCCCACTCAGGATGAGAGTATTTCCAAACTGCTTCGAGTGCAGAATTTTAATATTCTGATAAGGTGAGTCTTCGTCATACACCACTTCATCTATGTCGTACTCAACCAGGCGGCCATCAGCAGTGGGCCAGTACCTGTCAATGGTCCCTGCTCAAACTATGGGTGGTAATCGCTTTACCCTCCCGGTAGTGTCCTGACTCAGTTCTTTCATTCTTTCTTCTACTTTGTTCAAAAGACTGTCAACTTCTTTGCCTTCTGCATTGCCGTCGTAACTCTGAAGGTCCAGCAGCACCAATCCATGGGGGTAGATTCTCAGATTGGCAAAGCTGCCGTTTTTGTTTATGTAGGTCGCCAAGTAGCCGTGGTCCTGCCAGGTGTGCACCGACTCGGTCATCCCCTGCTCCTGGAAAATGGACTGGAGGCCTTTTAGGATGGTCTCGCTGTCGGCTTTGGCGCCGAGCTTGAAGTGGAGCGAGCTGCTGCCACAGTGCGGGGGGGCCCTGGGCCATGCCTGGGGGCGGCCGCGGGAGACGGGGGTCCGCGATGGCTGAGCCGGCGGCTCGGGGCTGCGGCGCCTGGAGGCCGGGGATCGGGGCTAAAGATTATAATACTTTTTATAATTATCTTAAGATACCAATTAGATTTTAAATTAGTTTTTGCATAGAAAACTAGTTGTTGGGGAGCATTATCTCAATTCGTTGAGGTTCTGCTTCCCAGCATATGCTGGCAATTTAGCTCAAATAAACTCACAAAAATTCTTAAAAAAAAAAAAAAAAAAAAAAGGAAGAAAAAGAAAACTAGTTGTTGGCACCGTTGTCCTTAGGGAGGCTGTCACTCTGGCCCACCCTGCTTATTGGACCCCCACCAGGATGGGAGTTTCTGAGTGGCAGGGCCCCAGTCTCCTTGACTTTTCCCTGCTTCTGCCTCACCTCTTATGGCAGGTCTCCTGTTGAATGGTGCTCTCCTTATGGCTTCTGTTCTCAGGAATCCAAGAACTTAGGGGACATTCATAAATCAGGCAGCCAGAGAATTTCACTCCTCCAACTCAAAGACGTACCCTGTCATGTTCCACAGGTAGCAGTCCCAGAAGTATGACTTGTCTCTATTCCCTCAAGAATGAGAAATAAAAAATCCGGCAGAGGCGAGGAGATGGGGGCTGGCTGGTGTGGTGACTCAGTTGTTTGGATTGTTGTCACCCTTACACCAACAGGTGGGGGGTTCAATTTCTAGTAAGGGTCCATACCCAGGTTGCAGGTTAGATCATCAGTTGGGCTACATGTAGTAGGCAACCCAATCGATATTTCTCACATCAATGCTTCTCTTCCCACCCCACCCCCCTCATTCCTCTGTTTAAAATCAGTAATAAAAAAAAAATTAAAACCTTTAAAAAAGCCGAAACCGGTTTGGCTCAGTGGTAGAGCATCGGTCTGTGGACTGAAAGGTCCCAGGTTCGATTCCGGTCAAGGGCATGCACATTGGTTGCGGGCACATCCCCAGTAGGGGGTGTGCAAGAGGCAGCTGGTTGATGTTTCTCTCTCATCGACATTTCTAGCTCTCTATCCCTCTCCCTTTCTCTCTGTGGAAAATCAATAAAATATATTTTAATAAAAATAAAAAAAAAACCTTTTAAAAAATCTAAGGGGGGAATTGTTAGGTTGGACAAAGGTCTCAAGGTGTAGGCCATTCTTACTATATGCTATCCTTGCTAAATATTAAAATACTAGCGGCCCAGTGCACGAAATTTGTGCACAGATAGGCTACTAGCCAGGGCCTTCCTACATTCCGAACCGCCTCCTGGTAGTCAGTGCACATCAAAGTGAGCAATTGAACTCCTGGTTGGTCAAACTTTCGAGGGGACACTTTGCAAATTAGGCTTTTATATATATATAGCTAGCATATCCTGCTGGGACCTGAACACCTGGGTGTTCACCATCACGCCTCCCGCACTGCCCTCCCCACTGCTTCCCTTTTGACACCTCAAACCCAGTGTCCCAATGGAGATGTGTGCCCAAGCTGCCATCTAGCTCTCCAATGCCAGTGTCACCTACAGCTCTACTTGAAGGATAAAGGGGTAGGTAAGTAAGGAGATCTCTGTACCACAACTCATACAAAGCAAACTGCCTGCAAATTGACAGTGGTAAAGCACCAAGGAAGCAACTGGCTGCAAAAGCGTGTTTCCTCTGCTGGAGGGTGAAGAAAACTCACTGCTACAGGTCCAGTACAATGGCACTCTGGGAAATGAGACGTTATTAGGGGTCCACTGAACGTCTGATTCACAAAATTCCCTTCCAGCGTCTGGGGCGAAATCAGATCTGTGCTTTCAGAGGGCAATTATTGGCACCTTGAAAGAAGCAAGTGAGGCCTGTCTGGTTTTTTAAGACACCAACCTGTGTGCTATCCACACAAAACGTGTAACAGACACCTCGCTAGCACTCGGCAGACGTGTAGAAAGTGTTTAAGAATTCATGTAAAGGAAAACATTTAATTCTTTTATTCTGTGTGTGTGTGTGTGGTTTTTTTTTTCTAATCCTCATCCAAGGACATGTTTGTTGATTTTTAGATAGAGAAGAAGGGAGGGAGAGAGGGAGGGAAAGAGGGAGAGAGAGGGAGGAAGAGAGAGAGGAGAACGTAGATGTGAAAGAGATATCCATCAGTTGCCTCCTTCATGAGCCCTGACGGGGACCAGGGACCTAACACACATCCTCAGTGTGTGCCCTGAAGGAAAACAAACCTGCAACCTTTCGGCGTCCTGGATGATGCTCCTACCAACTTAGCTACACTGCCCAGGGCTTTTGTATGCTTTACTTTAAAAAAAAAAAAGTTTAATTTTTGTGTTGAGATAAATTATCTTCACTATTTCAGCTAACTTCATAAAAGAGTGTTTATACTGTACAATATTTATGATGAAATTATATATTTAGTATGAAATTATATAATCTGTGTTAAAAGTCCTTCCATAGAGAGGAATTTCATTTGCATTAGTCTTTTCCATTGAAAATAAAATCATTAAAAAAAGAATAATCTTACTGCCCAATAACTTCATTATGTCATTGTGAAGCCCAACAGGTTCACAATTTGGGATTTCAAAAAAAGTAATGCACTCTGATTTCCATATTAATTGCAATATAGGAATGTAGCCCTTTATAATGAGATAGCATAATTCATAGGTGCTTTTCAACAATTAAGTTTTTCTAACTCTAACTCTTTAAACAGTATGCAAAGATTTCCACAGTCATACGGGGGGACTTCAGAGGGTATGTTAGGGTTCTTTAACATTATGTATGTTCTTTAACATTGAGCCAAGAGCTAAATCTACTATTTTTTTTTAAAACGTATCTGAGGTTACGATGCATTTCAACTTATTTCAGGAATGTTTAAAAACAAAGAAAGAAATGATGAATTGCCCAGTAGATATTATTTTTTTTTTCTTTGCAGGGTGGTAGTGTGGTGGTGGTGGTAGGGGAGCTCTCTTTAAAACATATTTCAGGGGGGGGGGGGAAATCCTATATAATATCCTATATAATAAAAGCCTAATATGCTAAGTGTCCGGTTATCTGGTTGGCCTTTCAACCAATCAAAGTGTAATATGTTAAGGCTGCTCAACTGTTCACTATGATGTGCACTGACCACCAGGGGGAAGACGCTCTGGCCGGTAGGTGAGCTTGCTTCTGGGGCCCTCCTACAGTCCCCACCTGGCCAGCCTCGCACATCCCTCCCTGGCCCTGATCATGCACCAGTAGGGTCCCTTGGCCTGGCCTGCACCCTCTTGCAATCCAAGGACCTCTCAGGGGATGTCAAAGAGCTGGTTTCAGCCTAATCCCACAGGCCAAGCCGAAGGACCCCTCTGGTGCATGAATTTGTGCACCAGGTTTCTTGTGTATGTGTGTGTGTGTATGTATGTATATATATATATATATATATATATATATATATATATATATATATATATATATATATTTTAAAAGGTACGGAGGTTAAACAAATCTTGCTAATTTAGCTATATAAGAAAAACAATATGGTTCATGCTCAATTGCTTGTGCTACTCCTTGTTAATGTGTATGGGTTTTGCCACAGGTGGAATTATTCATTGATGCATCTGGTCATCCAAAATATATTGAACACCTGTTATGTATTCATGTCCAGTTCCTGGAGTTGCAGAAGGAAAGAAAGCCAACAAAGTTACTTCTCTCCTGAAGATTATATTCTAGTAGTGAGGTAAAAGAAGTGAAATACATATTTATGTTAGGTGGTGATATATGCTATAGAGAAAATAAAGAGGAGTATAGGGGTGAGGGCTACTAGTGGTAGCCCAAAATTAAATTACTTTAAACTTTGAAGCAGAATTTGAAACACACCTGTCAGAGCCACTATCTGGAGAAGAATACAAACGGTGTATCATATAACCCAATTACAATCAATGAATTCATCAATAATTGTTATTGAGGAGTCCTCAAAAACAATTATAATACTAAAGACAGCAAAAGTTGCCGAAGCCGGTTTGGCTCAGTGGTAGAGTGTCGGTCTGTGGACTGAAAGATCCCGGGTTCGATTCCGGTCAAGGGCATGTACATGGGTTGTGGGCACATCCCCGGTAGGGGGTGTGCAGGAGGCAGCTGGCCGATGTTTCTCTCTCATCGACGTTTCTAGCTCTCTATCTCTCTCCCTTCCTCTCTGTAAAAAATCAATAAAATATATATATTTTTTAAAAAAATAATAGCCGAAACCGGTTTGGCTCAATGGATAGAGCATTGGCTTGGGGACTGAAGGGTCCCGGGTTCGATTCCAGTCAAGGGCATGTACCTTGGTTGCGGGCATATCCCCAGTGGGGTGTGTGCAAGAGGCAGCTGATCGATGAGTCTCTCTCTCATTGATGTTTCTAACTCTCTATCTCTCTCCCTTCCTCTCTGTAAAAAATCAATAAAATATATTTAAATAATAATAATAATAATAATAATAATA